CTTCTCGTGACTCTGCAGTCTCGTCCTCGTCCCCGTATGGCACTTCTGATCAGGATATAAGTCGTGGTGGACTACCTAACCTGCCGCCAACATTAACAGCTGCATCCTGGCACATTTTTCAAACACTTTCTCCCACGAGCGACAGTTTTTCTCCTAAAAACCATAAAGTACATTCCATCTTGTGAATTCTGAGCCATGCCTTAGGGGTTTTTTTCACTGTCTTCTCTTTTTGTTCAGTTACACCTGCTGACTCGTGCTAACTGACATCATCCCATCTGATTATATTACTTGGAAAAAAATAGTAGCCACCCACAATTACGTAAAAGACCTTCTTTGAAATGTTCGGCATTGTCGATGCATTTCTTAACTACTGTGTACCGATAGGGAGTTCAAAGGCGTTTGCCTATATTTCCCTTAATAAATTGACTTGAATTGACTTGACATGACCATTAACAAGAGAGCTACTTTATCCGGAATTTTCAAATACTTTCTACTCAAATAGATACCAACTAACGAAACCGAAATATCTTCGGGTCAGGAGATTGGAAGCAGGCCTTTGTTTCATTTTGTGCCTTAGAAATAGTTCAAATCTCTCCAAAATTTTTGTCATTAGCCCCGCTATTCGTCGGTACAACCTAAGAATTTCCGCACTTAGTATACCTCCTCCTGCCTCCTCGTCCTTTTTATCTAAACCTCCTCCGTTCTTTGATTCTAGGTATAGCTTTATTCGGAATAACTCGCCAACTGAAATTAGGTCGTTAACTAGTCAATCCACTTTCAAGCGAAAAGTGCACATTTACTTTACACGGATTCTATTAGCCCTTTACTATCCTCACGATTTCCGAGCAGCTTTCTCCAGTACTCCGAGAAAGGACCATCTGAAATTTAGGAGCTCCTTTTGAAAATATTTTTGAAGATTGCGTATGCAGCACAATTTATCGGAACCATACATTTCGCGAGTGCTCATCAGCTGCGCTTTCTCGCTGCATAAAGTGAGTAACGAATGAGAAAATACAGAATTGAATTCATACAGAATAATCGATACAAACAGCAAGGTCGCAAGTAATAGCCAAAAGGCAATCTTTAAAGATCGCAATAA